TATCGCCCAGGATTGGCTTGTACTACATGGACATCTCAAATTGCTTCCGAATTTCAACCCATCGAAATTTTTCACTAATAACGAGTTAAGGAATCATCAAATAACGGCGCCGGTGGTGTAGTGGTAAGCGTGATTACCTCTCACCCCAGCAGGCCTGGGTTCAATCCCAGTCGGCGCCGCCGGGATGTTCTGAGGCATAACATCTCTGATCACGCCTTCCTTCGGATGGGAAGTAAAGCCGTTGGTCCCAGGTTCATGAGTTGATGGGTCGATAGTAGGGTCCAGGTGTGGGAGCTTCCTTCCTGGCACGTCGGTAGCATTGGTGCTCAGCACGGAAAACAAGATCGACGGAAAAAACAACCAAAGGAAAAAAAAAAGCAATCATCAAATTTGCTATACTTTTGCTGTGACATCATAACTACCTTTCGTAATCCTATGTCAAATCTACGGTCGTGTCTTGGATACAACCTCTTACTTTTTTGAATTTCAGAAGAATTTGAGAAATGACACTGTTAAGACATAGGATAAATGTTTCTTCAGTAAAGTAGTTTAAAACCATCCGCTACAACTTTGCTAAAGAAAATAAAATCATCCAGCTACAACTTTGCTAAAGAACATGCGTATATACTTTCAAAAAAAAAAATTGTTTATCTATGTGAATAATTTGAGAAATATCCCAATTTAAAAACTGTCAAAAAAGTATTCGTTTAAGCTGGAAAAGTCCACATAAGATAATAAACATATGAACAATTTTCGGGCATAAGTCATAATTCAGTGTCATGTTGGTTTGTCGGTGACAATACTACGGTCTTGGAGAAAATTTGTGAACATGCAAGAATTTAAAAAAAAACTGGAATTTGAGATCGGATGATTCCACGATAAAGCCAAATCTCAAAAGTTTTCAATTTAAACAAAACTCATAGTTGAGTGGGAAGCTTCTGAAAATTGTCCAAACTTTTAGATTCCAGGTCCTTTAAAAATTAGTCGATTAGTGATTTAGAAAACCCATATTGCATGGGTTTAAATTCATATTCCTAGTCCGGGAGCCACCATATTGAATTTTGGTCCGCCATATTGGATTCCAAAATGGCGGCGGATGACAATTTTCCACTTCCCCTCATACCCATATTGCATGGGCTTAGATGAATTTTCCCTGTCCGGGGGCTGCCATATTGGATTTTCGTCCACCATATTGGATTCCAAAATGGCAGTGGATGTCAATTTTCCACTTCCACTTAGCGAGCCCATTCCGCAGATACCCATATTGCATAGGTTTAGATGCATATTCCCTGTCTAGGGGACGTGATATTGGATTTTGGTCCGCCATCTTGGATTTCAAAATTGCAGTGGATCTCAATTTTCTACTTCCACTTAGCGAGCCCATTCCGCAGATACCCATATTGCATACGTTTAGATACATATTCCCTGTCCAGGGCCAACATATTGGATTTTGGTCCGCCATCTTGGATTTAAAAATTGAAACGGATCTCAATTTTTCACTTCCCTTCATCGAGCCCATTCCGAAGATATCCATATTACATGGGTTGAGATGAATATTCCCTGTCCGGGGGCCGCCATATTGGATTTTGGTCCGCCATCTTGGATTCCAAAATGGCGGTGGATGCCAATTTTTCACTTCCCCTCATCGAACCCATTCCGGAGATACCCATATTGCATGGGTTTAGATGAATATTCCCTGTCCGGGGGCCGCCATATTGGATTTTGGTCTGCCATCTTGGATTTGTGGGAGCCATCTAGGGTTGAAATCCACTATTTTAATTTCATCCGGAATGTTGACTTGAATTTCGGAATTGCCCAAACACTAGAATTTCACATATCTTATCTTATCTTATCTTTCTTTATTAAAGAGACTTTCATATTGGATTTTGGTCCGCCATCTTGGATTCCAAAATTGCGGCGGATGCCAACTTTCCACTTCCCTTCATCGATCCCATTCCGGAGATATCCATATTGCCAGGGTTTAGATGAATATTCCCTGTCTGGGGCCGCCATATTGGATTTTGGTCCACCATCTTGGATTTCAAAATGGCCGCGGATGCCGATTTTCCACTTCCCATCATCGAGCCCATTCCGTAGATACCCATATTGCATGTGTTTAGATGCATATTCCCTGTCCAGGCGCCGCCATATTGGATTTTGGTCCACCATCTTGGATTCCAAAATGGTAGCGGATGCCAATTTTCCACTTCCCCTCATCGAGCCCATTCCGTAGATACCCATATTGCATGTGTTTAGATGCATATTCCCTGTCCAGGGGCCGCCATATTGGATTTTGGTCCGCCATCTTGGGTTGAAATCCACCATTTTAATTTCATCCGGAATGCTGACTTGAATTTCGGAATGCCCAAAACTCTAGAATTTCACATATCTTCTAATCCTATGATTTTCGATGATTTTGATCTTGGTTGATATTGATGCTGGTTGATTTTGAGAATCGAAAATCACGGCTGATATTGGTCGAAAATCACGTGTGATTTTCGTGGTGATGATAGCTTGGTGCGTGTGATTTTAGGTTATCTTGATCTTGAAAGATTGCTGATTTTGATTTTCTGATCTTGATTTTAGCCAACACTGAGACTCTCAAACATTTTTTTCTGAGCTCTAATTACATGAAAAAACGAAAAATTTTAGGTGTCCATTCAACTTTTTCTTTAAAAAAAAATAATGAGATATTTAGCTTTTTAACTATTTTACGGAATTTTTAGCTGAAATCGCTAACAAAATTATTTTTATATTTTTCCTATTAAAAATATTATTTTTTTCTACAACTTTGTCTCAGACATCATTTCAGTCGGAAGTGCCGTTTCCGTACCGTTTTTTTTTGTAAATTCAAAGACTCCATTTTGAAAAATTTGTGTGATTCAAAATGGCCGAATTTTAGCAAAAATGGAAATCATTGCATATAACAAATAATTATGGCAAATCGAAAAAGGTCGTGCGACTGCTCTGTATCTCAAAAAAGCTAGATCTAGAGACCATTGGTGAATTTTAGAGATCTTAAGATCCCGCCGTTCCCGTAAAGGCCGGCGCACAATGCATACGTTTTCGGGTTTTTTGATAGATAATGCATGGGCTAACTGTCAAAAAACCTGGAAACGTATCTATTGTGCACCGGCCTTAACTGTTAGTCGGCTCCGTCGGGATTTCCTGAGGCATAACATCTCTGTTCACGCCTTTCACGAAAGTAAAGCCGTTGGTCCCCGGTTCATAAGTTGATGAGTCGATAAGTAGGGCCCAGGTGCGGGAGCTGCCTCCCTGGCGTCGGTAGCATCTCAAAATTGTAGAATTGTGAGCTTCAGGGAAGATTCTTTGATCTGGACAGATCAGTGAACCAAAAGGCAGTTCAAATAATTTCAAACGAATTGCAGAAGGCTTACAGAAGTTTCGAGAAATTCAGAATTTCTAGAAAGTAAATGAAGATATACTTACATCAGGAAAATGTGAGAGTGCTTTAAGAATTTTATATGATTATCATAGGAATTAGTAGAAGTTAAAAAAAATGGCGAAAATTGAAGTAAGTTGATTGGATGACTTCAAAAATAATGCAATATCTTCAAGAAATTCCAGAGATCTTCAAAAAAATATAGAAACATTTAGATAGTTTCACAAAATTCTGCAAAGTTTCAAGTACATCGAGAAAAATCAGATAACTTCAGAGCAATCCCATTAAATTAAGGAAATTTGCAGAGACTTTAAGAAAGTTCCGTGGAGTTTTGGGATGTTCCAAAAATTCTATAAATGATCGAAAAAGTTCTTAAACATCAGGGAATTGTCAACATTATGGACTCTTAGTAGTTCTGAAGACGTCAGAATAGTCCAGCATAAATTTTCTGAAATTCTCCTCAGAAATCGCTTCAAACACTTATTTGAATCCTCTATAAATATCTTCAACATATCTTTGGAATATTTCTCCTAATTCCCTTGAAATATTCCTCAAAACGTTGGAACTATCTTCTGAATTTAATTTTTTTTTTAAATTTTCCTCGGAATTACCTTAAAGTTTTTCGCAGATGAACTTGCCCGTGGCTAAAAATCTCTTCAATAAAGATTTAATCAAAACAAAAACCATGAAATTCTTCTCAGTAAGAAACTGTTTGGAATAATTCTCAGAATGTTCAATGCACTTTTCCTTTCGGGTTCCCAGAAGTTCTGTTCAGAATTATCATGGAATAATCGTCAGAAATTTAAATGAGCTTTTTTTAAAATTCGAGATTTTCTTCTAATTCTTCTCAAAATTATCTTAGGTTTCACATGAAATCTGAAATTCCTCAGAACTATCAGCACTAATCTGCACTAATCAGGTGTTTTTCTCAAAGATTTGTTTCAACCTTCTTGGAATGATCCTTAGCAATTATAATCACATTTCAAGAGCTTTTTAAACTGTGCAGGGGATGTAACTCCAGGTTCTTGAAAATTGCTTTCAACTTTTTCATGCTTAAAATTTGTGGAGAATATACATTTTCCATAACCAGAAAAAAAACATTTCAAGCCTCTGAATTATTAAAATGTTATTTATTACTGAAGAATTTTTCGCTACGGATCTATTAAATTCACTTACTGAATAAAAATAATGATAAAATTTTACTGTTAACATTATAAAATGCACTGCCTTCATAAGTCATATCCTTAGTTGGAGAATCTGAAAATTCCAGCTTTGTTTAGAATTTCCTGTGGTCTTCCGGATTTTCAGGTTTTTTTTTCATGTATCAGACACTCGGTCATATATTAAGTGCTTAGTGAGAGAGTGAAATAATTCAGATTGTTCAGACATAATTGATTGTCAATATTCTTGAGCTTAAAAGTCTAGAACTGGATTTTTCTCAACATCTCCAATAGTTTCAATAAGCCATCTCAATTACCCAAGCTCAGTCTTTGTAGAATGTAAATAAATCTGTTATATTTATGTAAATGGTACACTCCTTTTTCTCGTACCCGTACAACCTATTAAGCGAAGCGCCAGGAGACACCTCAATAATTACCTTGATTGATGCCCCATACTGGCGATGGCACTAGCAGCTCGCCTATGCTGAACTCCAACTGATGATGACAAAGATGACGACGACGACGACGACGCCATAAGGCGCTGAGGTGGTCTCCTGCTTGGTAACCGGTTCCCTGCTCGCTGCCGCTGGTACCAATCCGGGGCCATGTTTCCTTCTCCGGAGAAGGCAATCATCAATCAACGCCTCCACCCAAGAACCAATACTGGGAAGTGGGTATTTTGCTGCTGCCTTTTCAAAACAAATTCAACACAACTCGGCTTGCACTCCTTATTTCTTCAATATTTTTCTGCTCTCACCCACGTTTTTTTTTTTTCTTCTCTCACCTCTGTTGCACAAATCACATGCTAATGCTCTCGCAATGTGTTATCTCGTTGGCATAGAAATCGTTTCACATCGCACCACCGCAGATTGCTTTCCTATTAATGACCAATGTCGAAATTAGTCATGCACTAAACGATGTTTCCCAGCAGATTTTAGATACTGGAACTGGACTGAACTCGAAACCACTCCGAGATACCACCGTCAGGTTCAACCGAAAACCCAAACATATTAGCATATCGCTGGGTATGATCACATGAAGCATTCGCCACACATCGCCACAATTCCACTTCTGGTCACTCTCATTCGAAAGTTGTCCTCAACCCCACAATTCCGAGCCCTTTCCTTGCATCCAGTGCACGGTGAATTCTATGGTGTCATTTGTTGAACCCATTAACAGCACCGACCAGGGCTACTCACTCCACATATGCTCATTTGTTTCGCTCACGTTTACCCCGTCAAGTGTATCGCACTTTTCCTCGTCACGTCGTTAACACCTTTTCACGCGCGCTCCGCGGACTCACCACACGTAATTTTACTTTGGTTGATAACAAGCGTGCTGCGGTAGATCCCTCGCTTAGCTGCCGGAGGTTTAACGATGATCGCGATCGAACGGCGGCGCACTAGCGACTGACGCGATTCCAACAGCCAAAGTTGGTGGTGTAGTAAGCCATGCGAGCCGACAACGACGGCCAAAGGTTGATTTTCCGCTCCTTATTCCCAGCTCTGCTCATATGTTACGTTATACCTACGACTGCGAGAAGGCGTTGGCGAAGGCAGAGCAGAGATCGGTTGTTTGTATTTTGTGTGGGCTTGGACGATTTGGATGAAATGCTGTTGGTTTCCACTGGTTGCTCTGCTGCGGGGGACAAAGGCGTGCACAGTAGGGTTTCCCAAACATATTTTTTTTTAGAAAAGTTTACTTTCTCACTGCTAGAATTGTAGATTTGGCTATTAGAAACCAGGCTTGCAATTGCTCATTACAGCTAAAGGGTGTCCACGATGAAATTGCCACACTATGAAATTGCTCTAACTTTTTAACCGTTGGGTAGAATTTAATGAAAATTTGGGTGGATTTAGTTCATAGTGCATTATCTACATCCTGCAAGTTTTAAAGTTCTGTGATCAAAACTCGCGGAAATGGAGTCGAAAGAACAGCTCGTGCGTGATAAAATCTTGCGCATTCATCACGAGAACAAGGATCTCTCGCATCGTTCCATCGCTAAAACGTTGGGAATCGCGAATTCCACGGTGTCGCGAGTGATTAAGCGGTTCGAGGAACGGTTGACCACCGATCGGAAGCCCAGAAGTGAAGGAAAAAGTATTCCGTACAACACCAAAAATCACAACCGCGTAGTTGGGGCCTTCAACCGAAATCCGAACGCCTCCGTTAGGGATGTGGCTAAGAAGCTGCACCTAAGCCGAAATTTTGTCCAGAAGGCCAAAACTAAGGCTGGGCTTCGAACGTTCAAGGTACAAAAGGCCCCTAATCGCGACGAGAAGCAGAACAAGTCCGCCAAAACCCGTGCCAGGAAGTTGTACCTCAACATGCTGACGAAAGTTGAATGCTGCATCATGGACGACGAAACATATGTGAAGGCCGACTTCAAACAGATCCCCGGCAACCTGTTTTTCACGGCCAAGGATAAGTTCAGCGTTCCGGAGCATGTCCGCACTCAGAAGATGTCCAAATTTGCGAAGAAATTCCTGGTTTGGCAAGCCATCTGCACGTGCGGGAAGCGGAGTGCACCTTTCGTGACCCAGGACACGATGAACGGACAGGTGTACATAAAAGAGTGCCTCCAGAAGCGGCTGCTTCCTCTCCTGAAGGCCCACAACGTCCCAACAATCTTCTGGCCGGATTTGGCCTCATGCCACTACTCCAAGGACGTGCTGAAGTGGTATGCGGACAATAAGGTCAATTTCGTGCCGAAAATGTTCAACCCTCCCAACACTCCGGAGCTCCGCCCCATCGAGAAGTACTGGGCGATTATGAAGCAGCACCTTCTTAAACGACCTAAGGTAGTGAAGATAGTCGAGGAACTGAAGAAAGTATGGGTTTACATGCAAAAAACGGTTGATTCACAGGTTGTGCAGAATCTTATGGCTGGGGTTAAGGCCAAGGTGCGGGCATTTGCGTATGGACTGTAAATAAAATACGAGTAAAATGGTAAAATGAAGTTTAATAGTTATTTCTCAATCCCTGAAAATTTGATGGCAATCGGATGAAACCTCGAATTTTGCGAATCAATTTTGTGTGTGGCAATTTCATCGTGGGAACCCTTTAAAATGCTTTCAGAGGGTCACAACTAACGATTTTATCATCGCTGATTGCTCGCTCATCGCGTTGCTCATCGTTACAGCTAATCGCTATTGTGACCCTCTCAAAGCTTTACTTCCCTGAGAATTTAGTAAATATATTTAGTATTTATTTTTAATTTAATTTTTTTTTCTCGAATCATGAACTCGTATGATTTGTGCTTAATTAATAGCAGAATTAAGCTGTGCCGACGCGTAACTACTTTGAAGTACCTGTTCAACATGTTCAATAAAAAAGTTCTATTGCTAAAAACTTCAGATAAGGCCTTCGAACTTCATGCAAGTTCTACAAAATTCGGGAAAGTCTTACAAGTTTCAGGAAAATCCTGTGAACTACTGTGATGACCTACGACGGTCAGGAAATTTCTCCGAACCTTCAGAGAAGTTCTACAAATTTCAAAGAAGGCTTGTGAACTTCAGGGAAGTCCTTTAATCTTTGGGGAATAACTACGAATTTTACAGAATTTTCAACAAATTTAATGTAACTTCTACGACATTTACACATTGCTTAAACTTAAGGATAATCCTATGACACTTATGGCTAATCCTATGACACTTACGAGCTTCATAGAAGTCTTCAATACTCTTGGGAAGTCCTCTGAACTTAACATAGTTCTCCAAGCTCAAAAAAGTTCCTAGAACTTCCGAGAAGTCGATTGAACTACAGGTAGTCCTACGGAATTCATGGGAGCTCTCCAAACTTCAGGGAATTTCCAAGTAATTAAGGAAATACCCACAAACTTTTGGAAAACCCTTCGATATTTAAAGCCCTAAGAACTTCAGGGAAGCTCTTTTAAATTTAGGGTCCTCATATATTCAGTTAAGACCTTCAAACTTCAGGGAAGTCCTCAGATCTTCGAGAAAGTTCTTCGAACTTGAAGGAAGTCTTACGAACTACTGAGAATTTCTACGAACTTCGTGGTACTTCTACGATATTTAAGAAATTCATATGAATTTAAAAAACTCCGAACTTCAGGGAAGTCCTAAGATCTTAAAAAATGTCCTTCGAACTTCGGGGAAGTCCCATGAAATTCAGGCAATACAAACTTCAGCAGTCAGTCTTTTTAATAGTAAGAGTTTTTAAACCAGCGTTGTTTATGAAATTTTTTAATCATATGATTTTGAAATCATGTTGTAATCAAAATTCCACTAAACAAGATCCGAGGGGGGCGACACATCTAAATCTCAAGTTTAGATGCTCAACAAATCTCACACTAGCGAATCAATCTTCGAAAAATCTTCTTTCATTTGTCGCATCAACTTGCATCGCGCATCATTTTTTTGCAGGAAATCTTCAGAATTGTCATCAATCTTCTTTCTATCTACTCAGCGTGTGCGCAGCTAGCCACAGCAAAACACAATCTTTTCTGCATCGTAGATAGAGTCGTCCCCCTCGATAAGATCCTTAATCGTTGACAATTTGCGGAAAATTTTAACAAACTGGAAATCCACAAAGTTGTTAGAAGCAAAGGTTTGTTTAAAGAGTCCTCATTCAAATCACACTTCGCAATTTCACCTTGAGATAAACTAGCCCGTTGGCTGAAAATCTCAATAATAAAGTTAAAACAAAAATCTGAGTCTAGTCCGTCGTATCTCAGCTTTTATTCGTCATACACCCCTAAAATCACCCATTTTACGGGTTATCGCAAATGTTTCAGTGTCAATCGTAATTAATCTTGTAAGCACAGATGTTTTTGCAAAAACATGAATGAAAATGCGTTGCTATTATAGTTTTAGCACATAGAAGGGAAATAGGCGCCATGATACGACGAAGTAGCGCGGCTCCCTACTATACACTCAGCTACGTTTTGCTTGTTCGGTAATTTTTTACCGGAAATAATCGGTAAATTTAGTGTATTACAGTATTTTCGGTAAACAAAAATAATTTCACCAATATTCGGTAAACTTTTAACGAAGTTTCGGTAATTTGATTATAAATTTGATGAACTCTGTAAAAAAATACCGAACGATCTGTTAAATTAGCCAAAATGCCGAATTCGGTAAAAAATTACCGAACAAACCGTAAATCATAAGTAATTTTACCGAAATTTTGTACTATCAAACTGTCAAATCTTGAGAGGATTTATTTACTAGTGAATGGTAAACAGTGCATCCGGAATCAAGTGCAAATAAAGTTTAAAAAAATTACGATGGAGCAGGTAAGGATAAAAATTCTTGACCACGATCAATGGATCACCGACATATTTTGTGAGTAGTTGCAGCAAATCCAATTATTTTCCAGGCATTTTCAGCAATAGCATGATTTGATTGCAGGTTATTTATCTGGACTGCATCGCATAACATCGGGCTCTAACACATTTCGGCGTCAAATACATTTTTTATTGCACGTATCACAAGTCCAGTGACAATTTTAAAATTAAATAAAAACTGATAAATATTATTCAAGACTTTTTATCTCAAATTAACTGAAAACGGTAGTAAAATAAAAAAATAGTGGGAAAATCAGTTTTACAGAACAGTTCGGTAAAAATTTACCGAATCGTTCCGCAAAAAAGTACCGAATCGTTCGGTAATTTTGACAACTCATCAAAAAATTGGTTTACCGAACGTTCGGTAGGCATTTCGTTTACCGAACTGATTACCGAACGTTCAGCTGTTGAAAGTTCGGTAAAAAATTACCGAGTACGGTAATAATTTCTGAGTGTGTAGCTTCTTTACAGCAAACAATCAGATAAAGATTTCACGGGCATTCACAAGAACCTATTTTGGTTTGTGAAATTCCGCATTGCGCGAAGAATGATGGCACAAGGATTCACTTTATTTATTTTTTTTTATTAAAAATTGTTTTTTTAAATACATGGTTTTTAAAACCAGGAAATGTTTTAAATCATTGACCAGGAAAACCAGGGAAAAACCAGGGAAAAACCAGGAATTTCAAAATGGAAATTTACTTGCCACTCTGTATGTAATTCCCATTTAAGTCCACTACCTTATTTGCTTATTCTTGACAGATACGCGCAGACTTCTTCAGTGTCTTGTACTAATACTCGACTGTATTAGTATAAGATACTGAACAAGACTGCATATTGTAGATGAAATACGCGTATCTGTCATGGATAAGCAAATAAGGTAGTGTACTTAAATGGAAATTACTAATCCTTCTCTCGCTCATTCCACATTCATCAGGATTAACCAAAATAAATTAAATCAATACCATTGAGTTGAATTTTAAGGTCCTACTTTTACTTTTTTCAACAACAAAATTTATGTTTGGGAGTTAGCCCAACAATTCAACGTTGGATTGGTTGATCTTTCAACCCCCTGCCCC